CCAGCCTTTCAGAAGCTTTCTCACACCATGCCACCTAGCCTATAAATTGTCTCTATAATAGCGTATTATTTTGAGGTACAACTGATTTTGGGGAATCATTTCCTTGGGGGTGAAAATGAATTTTTTAGCATATTTTTTTATCTGCCAGCCTTTCAGAAGCTTTCTCACACCATGCCACCTAGCCTATAAATAGTCTCTATAATAGAGTATTTTTTTGAGATACAACTGATGTTGGGGAATCATTTCCTTGGGGGTGAAAATGAATTTTTTTAGCATATTTTTTATCTGCCAGCCTTTCAGAAGCTTTCTCACACCATGCCACCTAGCCTATAAATTGTCTCTATAATAGAGTATTTTTTTGAGGTACAACTGATTTTGGGGAATCATTTCCTTGGGGGTGAAAATGAATTTTTTTAATATATTTTTTATCTGCCAGCCTTTCAGAAGCTTTCTCACACCATGCCACCTAGCCTATAAATTGTCTCTATAATAGCGTATTATTTTGAGGTACAACTGATTTTGGGGAATCATTTCCTTGGGGGTGAAAATGAATTTTTTAGCATATTTTTTTATCTGCCAGCCTTTCAGAAGATTTCTCACACCATGCGGCCCAGCCTATAAATTGTCTCTATATAGAGTATTTTTTTGAGGTACAACTGATTTTGGGGAATCATTTCCTTGGGGGTGAAAATGAATTTTTTAGCATATTTTTTTATCTGCCAGCCTTTCAGAAGCTTTCTCACACCATGCCACCTAGCCTATAAATAGTCTCTATTATAGAGTATTTTTTTGAGGTACAACTAAGTTTGGGGAATCATTTCCCTGGGGGTGAAAATGAATTTTTTAGCATATTTTTTTATCTGCCGGCCTTTCAGAAGCTTTCTCACACCATGCCACCTAGCCTATAAATAGTCTCTATAATAGAGTATTTTTTTGAGGTACAACTGATTTTGGGGAATCATTTCCTTGGGGGTGAAAATTAATTTTTTAACATATTTTTTTATCTGCCAGCCTTTCAGAAGCTTTCCCACACCATGCCACCTAGCCTATAAATAGTCTCTATAATAGAGTATTTTTTTGAGGTACAACTGATTTTGGGGAATCATTTCCTTGGGGGTGAAAATGAATTTTTTTAGCATATTTTTTATCTGACAGCCTTTCAGAAGCTTTGTCGCACCATGCCACCTAGCCTATAAATTGTCTCTATAATAGAGTATTTTTGTGAGGTACAACTGATTTTGGGGAATCATTTCCTTGGGGGGTGAAAATGAATTTTTTAGCATATTTTTTTATCTGCCAGCAGAAGCTTTCTCACACCATGCCATCTAGCCTATAAATAGTCTCTATAATAGAGTATTTTTTTGAGGTACAACTGATTTTGGGGAATCATTTCCTTGGGGGTGAAAATTAATTTTTTAGCATATTTTTTTATCTGCCAGCCTTTCAGAAGCTTTCTCACACCATGCCACCTAGCCTATAAATAGTCTCTATAATAGAGTATTTTTTTGAGGTACAACTGATTTTAGGGAATCATTTCCTTGGGGGTGAGAATGAATTTTTTTAGCATATTTTTTATCTGCCAGCCTTTCAGAAGCTTTCTCACACCATGCCACCTAGCCTAAAAATAGTCTCTATAATAGAGTATTTTTTTGAGGTACAACTGATTTTGGGGAATCATTTCCTTGGGGGTGAAGATTAATTTTTTAGCATATTTTTTTATCTGCCAGCCTTTCAGAAGCTTTTTCACACCATGCCACCTAGCCTATAAATTGTCTCTATAATAGAGTGTTTTTTTGAGGTACAACTGATTTTGGGGAATCATTTCCTTGGGGGTGAAAATGAATTTTTTAGCATATTTTTTTATCTGCCGGCCTTTCAGAAGCTTTCTCATACCATGCCACCTAGCCTATAAATAGTCTCTATAATAGAGTATTTTTTTGAGGTACAACTAATTTTGGGGAATCATTTCCTTGGGGGTGAAAATGAATTTTTTAGCATATTTTTTTATCTGCCGGCCTTTCAGAAGCTTTCTCACACCATGCCATCTAGCCTATACATTGTCTCTATAATAGGGTATCTTTTTGAGGTACAACTGATTTTGGGGAATCATTTCCTTGGGGGTGAAAATGAATTTTTTAGCATATTTTTTTATCTGCCGGCCTTTCAGAAGCTTTCTCACACCATGCCACCTAGCCTATAAATAGTCTCTATAATGGAGTATTTTTTTGAGGTACAACTGATTTTGGGGAATCATTTCCTTGGGGGTGAAAATTAATTTTTTAGCATATTTTTTATCTGCCAGCCTTTCAGAAGCTTTCTCACACCATGCCACCTAGTCCATGAATTGTCTCTGTAATAGAGCATTTTTTTGAGATATAAATCATTTTGTGGAATCATTTTTTTGGGGGTGAAAATGAAGTTTTATTTATATTTTTTCATCTAGCACCCCTTTAGAGATTTTCTCAGTATATGCTATTTAGCTCATTAATTACTTTCAATACAGTAATCGGTAAGTGAAAATTCGAAGAAAGGTTGTGGGTTAACTCTTGTTCCTGCCAATTATTTAAGTAGGGTGGAAAATGATTCTTCCTATAGGGGTGCTCTCTTATATATATATATATATATATATATATATATATATATATATTTATTGTTGCGAGCTGTTAGCTGTATCCTTCACAATTACAGTCTGGTCGAGGATGTCGACACCACTGGTCATTCGGGTATCTTCGGCAAATTGTCCGCTAAATTTTGTCTGCCAACTTCACACCGGTGTGGAGCCTCATCTTATTCCATACCTAAACACCATCCAAAACCTGATTTTTCAGCAAGACAATGCCAGACCGCATGTTGCCAGAGCATCGTTAGCCTTCATGGATCAACATCGCATTAACCGTTTACCTTGGCCACGACGATCGCCTGACCTATCTCCAATTGAACAAGTCTGGGACATGATAGGTCGCAAAAGCTGGTATTTCGTAACGAAGTCATTCCCAATATAGGTCAGTGGGTCAATAAGTCAGGTTAATCGGCGGCGTCACCAATTTGGTTGCAGTTGATAAATCGTCTAAGGAAGTTTTGGTTGTTAGAGTTCGCAACATGATTGCTGTTGTTTGGGTACGACCCTACGTCCACTTCCTTTAGCTTCGCAGCCCATCACACTTCAACTCACTGTCATACGGATTCAAGCTTGACATTTTAATTCAAGGTCATTGAGTCTCAAGCCCTGTCGTGTCATTGACCGTTCACTGTAAAGTCCATAAGATCTAGATTTTACTCATCCTGAGAGTCAATTTCCATTGACTTCAACGCTTTTGACATTGAATTTTAGAGTTAATGGCCCTTGACTTCAGAGTAAACGATATTTTTAGTTTTAATGTCAACCGCAAGCTTAATTATATTTGAATTCAGGGCCACTGATCTTCAATCTTAGGCCTTCGACTTTGAAGTGATTCTTGGATCAATAACCAATGACCTTCAGGGTCATTAACATGTGACCTCAAGACAATGAACTGAACTTCATGAGACTTTTGGGATGACTTACTTTTTATTTCCGATTATTGAGCTTCAATCCCGATTAGTGTTAGGCAGAATAACGGATATAGTCAAATAAAATTAAACTGCGCAAGTGTATTCGTTAAGCCCCTCAAACGTGTATGGTTGATGCCATCGGCCAGAATAACGGATATAGTTCAAACCTCAAACGAAGGTAAATCTAGCGTCTAACGGATATAGTCAGGTGAAGTTAACTTCTCAAATTCCTCGCACGTGGATAGTTCTTGTAGTCGGGCGAATTAATGGGATACAGTCCGGTGAAATTAACTTTGCAAGTTTATTCGACAAACACCTTAAACGTGGGTTGTCGACGTAGTCAGGCGAATTAATGGATTTGATCCGGTCAGATTGCAAGCTTAATCACCAAACTCGTCGAACGTGGAACTAGCTGTGAGGTATCGGAAATAGTCCAGTGAACTTACGAAGTCAGTAATTTCACCGAACTACGCGGTCTCTGTAAATTGATGAGACTGGCAACGTAGCGTTAGATTTGGCATTATTGGAGGCACCGGGCTTGGAGGGGAGACAGGTACGTTGGATCCGCCTTCACTACAAGTTTCAACTCTCGCATTATTTGGTTGTCCGTAGCGATTTTTTTTAAACAGTTTTTCCTATTGTGTTGTAAAAATGACTGAAATCAATTGGGCACAGTGCAACAGAAACTCTTGCTAAACTTCAGCCGGCATACGGAGATGGTTTTTGTCAAGAGCCCAGGTGTTTCGTTGGTTTAAGGCATTTTCAGAAGGGAGAGAGATTTTCAAGAACCGATGAAAATATCGACAGAATCCGGGATCTAGTGCGTTCAGATCGTCGGTTGACAGTCTGAATGATCGGGGAAGAGTTAAATTTGACTCACACCACCGTTCATCAGATCAAGAATAACTGGGTGTTGCATCACGTTCACACAATGTCCATAAACAAGTTTTTGGCCACTAAAAATATTCCTCGGCCTCCTTATTCGCCTGACTTGAGTCCTTGTGACTTTTTTCTCTTTTCCGAAGTTGAAAAATCACCTCAAGGGTGGGACAGTCGAAAACATTCAAGCGTCTGTAACCGATCAGCTGGAGGCTAATCCAGTATCGGTGTCCCTGCACTGCTATGAGGAGTGGAAGAACGGTCGCCAGTGCTGTGTGGCTTCAGAAGGAAGTTATTTTGAGGGGATGATATAAAATTGTAATTATATTTCAATACAAAAGAAAAAAGACAATCACTTATTTTAGAGACCTCGTATATCCATTAATCCATCCGATGGCGTCATTACCTATATTTAAGATATGCTCAGCTACAAAAAAGTATTCCATTCCGCCATTTTCGGCCCCAGAGTGAGATAGAGGATTACTCCAATCCCGTTTTGAAACAGTTTTACTTTTGTGCGTATAAAGCTACTAGTATCACAGAAACATGAGGAGGAAGGAAGAGGTATGTTGATAAAATACAATCTGCTGGTGGGTATAAATAAATTAAATTTTATTCCAAAATATACATAAAGAAATAGCATAACAAATAGTATATCACACTCATACAAAGTGGCATGATTGCAATATAAAACAAATCACATTTTCTAAGGCTATACTGATTGCATTTCCATTCACAGTTTCCCTCTTTTTTTCATCATAAGTTTCCTCCGTTTCTCTTCCTCTTCTTTTTTCATATCTTCCAGATCTTCCATTATACCTATGAAGTTATTAAATTAATCATTAATAAAAATATTTTAAATCGTATATAAATGAAAGTGTAATAATATTGCTAGCCTGGTGTTGAAGTTTAATCAAGGCAGAATCTATTAGAGCATAGTAACGTCAAACAACACACGCAAACAACAAGAATTCTGCTGCTACAAAAAAATAAAACACACCTATTTTGGTGCTGATGACTTCCTCCCTCATTTGTTGTGCAAATGAAGACTCCATATTGTCAACGTCTTCGTCCATATCTCTGTACCTTGACTTATCGTATCCAAATATTTCACTGATATATTTGGAATAATCATTATCGGGCCCCTCGTCGTCATCAATAAAGTCATCCATCTCTGAGTCGTATTCCTCTTCACCGTCGTCATCCAATATTCTTCCTGAAAAGTTGAAAAATAATGTAAAATTGCAAATATATTGTTTGAGCAGATAGTTCATAATTTGACGGTATCTTATATTTGTACTTAATCTAACAATGACTTGAACATACATATGTATAATATGTATGTTACAGGCAAGAACGATAACTATGCATGTGCAATAACGCTCATCAGACAGCGGCCAATAACGATATAGTAGAATGTAAGGTTATGTTACAAACAATGCGTGATTTTTGTATTGCATATACCCTATTTCACGAGTATCCATCACGCTTTGACGTCTACTGAGGTAAACAGCTGATCAGCAAGTGACATTTTCCTGTTACGCCGCGTACAGACCGAGATTCTAACGCAAACCAATGCACATGTGGTTTCAAATTTGGCGGTGTTCGAATCGGTGTGTTCGGCGCGAGCCAACATAAGCCAACGGTTTCAACGTCGGCGTTAGATTGCGTTCGCTCCTTGATCGGTACATCAAAGCAGAGTTGAAAAAAAACATGTTAATTTTTTTTTTGTTTAACGGCCTTCATACATACCCCTGAAAGACGATAATCCACAAGGTGGCAGTGCAATGAACAAATTCATGATAAAATGATACGCCTTACCCACTATCCCTTGAACACACCTACTCGTCGTGGTTTCAGAGCACAACGTTGCCACAACAACGGTTCATAGCGTAGCGACCCAGTCGCCCTGCCGGCCAGTGTGATATTTTGCCATAATAACCACCGATCACGAATAGTTGGTACCACCCTCACACTCTGCCTCGCTGCTAAGCCGTTCGGCGCGTGCCACTCGGTCGATAATTCTACGTGTGGGACGCAAGGATCTGAATGTTTACTTGCGGGTAGCTATTGGCACTATCACAGCCATTGGAAAATATGGGGGTGATAGATGGTCAGCGATGTCATACTAGCTTGGCATTTTGAATACGGATATATATATATATATATATATATATGCGCATACTTACTATATAAGTAAATGGTCAATCATCTACAACTAACATATCACAAATAAGCTTATCTACGACCAGGCAGAAAAATGTATTTCATAAATTTGTAGGTCTGAGCGTTTATATTCTCTTTTGCAGTAAAGTAGTTGTAGCGCCCGCTAGGTATAAATTATTGTTGAATACAAGATTACTGTTCGTTCTTTTCCGTTGCTAGGTAAAACGACGCATCTGCCCTGTATAATCTGCGATATTGAAATGTTCAACAGCCACTTTTTGGCTAAAATATTACACTCACGAATCAGTTGCGAGACCTTTGAAAATTATCGTATATACACTGTTGTAAAAAAGATACGCATCGTAGTTATAAACGTTTATTCAAATAAAAACAGTTTCAGTATATCTGTATCTATATATCAATGTTATAAGATTCGAAACAAAAAATTTAAACAGTTTTCATGTATATCAGCTCCTTTGCTTGCTTGCGGTTTTGAATTTGCTTTTAGTGCGAACTGAATTGGCAGCATCGAACCCCAAAAAAATTAAAAAAAAAATGAATTAAGCTGATAGTACCGGCTTACTTATAAACAGTAAAAAAAGTGGATGAGAGGTATTGCAAAAACAAAAACCTTCAAATGTAAAATACAACTCAACTTTGAAGTTGAGTCATTAATTTTCAGATAATGATTGTAGAAGGAAGATAAACCAAAATATGTGTGTAAAAATAAAAAAAAATTAAAAAAAATGTTACCTTGTTTTATAAAGTATCCTCCCGGCAAGTATTTCAGTGCGGACCTGTATTTGATCGTGCGGTCTTGGAGCATCGGCATGCCCTCCACTGTGAGGTCTTAAGTCACCTGTACTACATTAACAAAGGCACGAGGGGTTGGTTGCACTCGATTGGGAAACCGATCCGTATAAATCCGTGATGCCGCGGCAGCATTTTGTAAAGACTCCCTCCCCCCCGTAAATAAGAATCATGTCTACAAGTTCACCATTTTCGTAAACATGTGCCATTTTTTATTTCGTTTGAGCCACGCAACAAACATCACTATTCACTCACGCGTTACCGACTGACACATTGACTGAATACAACTAAAAACATCGTGATGAGCGTTTCAAATTCTTTCGCTTTTTTGTTTCCGATGCGATGAACCGATAAGGCGGATTATATCCGTTGTTGCCAAACACGACCACATAATATTATTATTGAGACAGGACGGTACTCAAACTTCTAAAGGGCTATAACTTTGTTACTTTAATTTTACCAGAAAATTGTTAAAGGAAAAAACATTTCTTTTGATCAGATCTACTCACTGTTAAAATAAATGACTCAACTTCGAAGTATATGATGTAGGTATCTATATAAAATACAAAATAAATACTACTACTAAACTACTGGTTACTTTGTACATGTTGAGTTGGTATGTTTGTACTTTCTCGTACTGGCATTCCACGAGGAATTCTGCCGTCTTACAGTTCTCGCAAAATACACTTTATAAAAATACCCTAGCTTGGGCACCATCGTCTCACGCCACAGCTTATCATCCTTATACTCGTATATCCTCTCTACATTGAAATCGGCATCGCAGTAGAGAATGAAGTCGCAGAATCTGCGCTCGGTGATGTTGAGTTGCCCTTGAACCTGGAAATAATAATTGTGATTTCTTTTTAGCGACACGGTACCGTTTTCTATTGTGCAGCTGCTAAGAAAGGATACTCCTGACTCACAAAAAGTCCACACTCTTCAACGGATGTCCCTGTTTGCTGCTCATACTTATGTCGGGCTGTTGCTTCGTGTACTCTGCCATACATAATCGCTGCTGTTTGCAGGCTGTCAACGTGATATAACAGGTTTTTGGCTATGTTATGGCAGGGAGTAGATACTCTCCTTTTATTACGCGACTGAAATTAGATGCCGTTAAATATTCTTTGCGTAACTCCCCCACAAAGCATTTTCATGCTGGCCTCTTGTGGGTGTTTCGAGCTCTGCAATTTTTGTCTTTGACTACTCGGTTGGCTAGAGCCTGCAGAAACTTGTCTTTCCTCTTCTCCATTTCTTGCTCGTTTATATCCTCGGCAGCTGCGCATTAGGACCGTAATGCACGTCCGGCCGACCAGAAGATTGCTTTTTTGTTTTTTTCTTGCAGATAAGTCTACTCCTTTCCAGTGCCCTTGTCCTTTTTAGACAGACCTTGGCTGTCGTGGCCCCTGCCGAAAAATTATTTTTCCGTAAAGCTTCCACATGCCAGCCTGGACCTCTGGAATGGGATATGGCTGCCGCGTAGGCCCTAGCTGTGTAAGACTTCCTTTTTGTAAAATTCGCTCTTTTAGCCCCGGTACATTTTGCCACTAGCGACATGTATCTGAAAATTAAAAACACAATCTATTAATTCAATATGGTACGTAATGACGTCATCGTGACATAGGATATTAGTCTGATATGATTCGCTGATTTGAGCAAAAATAAGGTGTCTGGCATTCATAAGAACAGAATCACACCTCAACAATTGATCCGGATAATTTTTAGCTTGCTGAAGTCAAGTTCCAGATTGGAAGACAGCACACCAATATGATACGATATTTAGGGGATTTTTGCAATTTGATTATTAGGGCTACTATTGTGATTTATTTCCAGTTTCAAAGATCTGAAAATGACAGATTTACATTTATTATATCTAATTCATCTGTTCAGTAGTGTATATCGGCATCGCTGCAATATATATATATATATATATATATATATATACATATATAAAGTTGAGGTTTTCCTTTACACGACGTGTAGATCTTGAAAACATAAGCAACTTTTCTTAGTACCATATACACCAATGTCTTAAGGGAACCGAGATAAAGGGCTCTGCAACATCAAAAATATCTGAATACCGTCCTGTAGCCGCGACTCGCGATACCCCCAACTGGTACCGGCTACTAGCTCAATCCGACGACAGAACTGGGTCGGGGGTCGGGGTCAGTGTGTCAGGTCAGTATGCAACCTTCAACCAACGGTTACGGTCACGCGTGTCGAGGTAAACGAACTCGTATAATCGATTGCGTTTCAAAAAACAACAAGCACTAGAGACGTGGCTAGAGAAGTGCAAGTATCAAAAACTAAAGTGTGACAAACGCTGCGTGAAGAGGGGCTGTATCCGTTTCACGTCCAACGTGTACAAGCCCTTCAACCTGACGATTTTCCAGCAAGAGTGCGGTTTTATGAGTGGTTGTTGCATCAGCATGACAATAATCCGGACTTTTTGAAGTGCATATTGGTGACAGACGAATCTACGTTCACGCGTAATGGGGTGAATAACTTTCGCAACACTCATGTTTGGTCAGTAGAAAATCCGCACGCTGTCTGTCGGGCACATTTTCAACAAACATTTTCGGTTAATGTTTGGGCTGGCATGGTGAACGGTAGGCTCATTGGACCATTTATTCTCCCAAATCGATTGGACGGGATGCAATACCTAGACTGTTTACGTCTGCTCGGTAGCGCATCAGCTGATTTCATTTTCTGTTGTAGCGGTATGATTTCGGGCAGAGACGTACTTAGCCCTTCTCGTCAATTGGAGAGTGAGTACTTTTTCCTTTATTTTTTTACTTGGTCGCCCTCGTTTCACTACACATTATCTTTGTTATTACAAGGGTACTTGTTTCTGAAAAGGAAAACCCCAACTTTGCGGACACCCTATATATATATATATATATAAATAGGAAAATAATGGGCAAAATCCGCAAAAAGTGGACTATATATACATATATATATATATATATCTCCACGTGGATAGGTGCTCCTTTCATAAACCAGCAATAAGTCACCTACCAGAAATACTGAATATATATCAAATTTAATTCGTGAATATCCGACACCAAGACACATTGATCCAAGATCAGTTAAAAAAACTGTATATTAACATTTCGGATTTCCATACAAAGTCCGATATATAGGTCTCCCTTTCAAAAACAGTATGATGTGTCCTCTACCGGAATACCCTCCAGATAACAAAGCGGCATTAGGTCCTCCAAAATACTCAAATTATCTAAACAT